GGTCCTGGGTGCCTTGCGGTCCTCTTGGGCCGTCTCGGGGCCCTCTTGGGGACTTCTTGGGGCGTCCTGGGGCTCTCTTTGGTGCCTCTTGGGCCGTCTGGCCTCATGCGGAGCCCCGCAGAAGGCTCCAGAAGGGTCGTTCGCATGTGGGCGGCACGCACGGTTCGGGACACCCCTCACACGCTTCCTGGCCCCAATGGGAGCTCCACCTAAGGCCCCAGAGGGAGCGCTCGCATCTGGGCATCACGCCCTTCTCGTCTCACCCCTGCCATGCGTCGGAGCTCCACCGAAGGGCCCAAAGGAGCGTTCCCAAATGGGCGTCACGCCCGCGTCGCCACACCCCATCACATGCTTGGTGGCTTCATAGGGAGCTCCATCGACGGCGCCAATGCCGGGAAGAGGCTGGATGAGGGTGGCGCTTGTTTCTGTGAGGCCGCCACAAAAAGGCGAAAACACATCTCTTTGCAACGTCGCGGCAAAGCGAATATGTTTGCGAAGCTGCCGCAAGAGGAATTCTGTCTTTAGCCCGCCACAAAAGCAAAAGGAATCCTTTTGCAGGGGCACCACACAAGAAATCCTTTTGCAAGGACGCCACTACAAGAATCCTTCTGCAAGGCCGCCACGCAAGGAATGCCTTTGTATGGCCGCCACAACAAGAATCCTGTTGTAAAGCCGCCGCAATAAGAACCCTTTCGTACGGCCGTTAACCAATTGTCGGCAGCCAGCAGCGGGAAACCAGGACAACAATGAAAAACAAGAAAAACGAAATCCAATACCAAAAAACATAGGGAGCAATGTGTTTTCATAACGTTTATTTGTTGTCATTGATGTTTGCTGTGTTTCTGTGTTTTCATATGTTGCTCTTGGATGTCGTTGTTGTCCGCTGTGTTTTCATAGTCGTTGGTTTTGTTTCCTTGTGTCTCGTTAGGTCTTATTTGTTTTCTTTGTTTCGTTGTTTTCTTGTGTTTCATTGTTTTCCTGGTGTTCCGCTGCTGGCTGTCCCTGTGTAGAGCCGCCGATCCATGTTTGACAGCCAGCTGCGGAAAACCAATAAAACATCACAAACAATGGAAGCAAAGAAAACACAGCGAAAAACAATGCAAAACACATGGGGCACTGTGTTTTCATAAGCTTTCTGTGTATCGCATTGTTTGCTGATGTGGCTTCGTTTTCTCTGGTTATATTTGTTTTCGGCTGTGCGTGCAAAAGGTTTGCTTTGGTTGTCCCCGGTTCTTGCTCTGTGTTCATCAAATGTCTTTGGTGTTCCTTGCTTTCAATATTCAATCCTCGTTTTCACAGTTGTTGGTTGTTTTCTTAACATTCCGCTGCTGGCGGCCAACAGCGGGAAACCAGGGAAGCATGGAAAAACAAGAAAACAATGAAAACACAACGAATAATACAGAAACGCCTCAACACATTGCGAAAGCATAGCGAAAAAAAACAGAAAAAACAAAAATGAAACCTATGAAAACAAAGCAACCAGCAATAACAACCAAAGGAAACGTATGAAACCACATCGGAAACCAATGAAACACAAAGGTAACCCACGAAAACACAGTACTCCATTCGTTGTTACGTGTTTTTCGATGCGTTGATTTTTATGTGTGTTCCTTGTCTTTCCTTATCCTGGTTTTCCGCTGGTGGCTGCCGACAACAGATAAGCGGCCTTAGAAAAAGGGTTCCTTGTCGCGGCGGCCTTGCAAAAAGGATCCCCCTTGCGGCGGCAACACAAGGGGATCCCTTTTTTTGCGGCGGCCTTACAAGGGGATTTCGCGGCGGCCTTGCAAAAAGAACGTCTCGCGTTGTGCCCCTGCTAAAGGACTCCGTTTGCCTTTTGCGGCAGCCTAAAGAGAGAATTCCTCCTGCGGCGGCTTCGCGCAAATACTTGCTTTGCCGCGACGTTATAAAGAGATGTGGTTTTGCCTCCTGCGAGCACTTGCTAAGATGGCAAATGAGGGTCTCCAGCCGCACGCGGACTACAGAACAGTGGAGGAAGCCAATGTTGAGACAGAGAAGTTTTCGTCCATCGCGAAGCTGGCGCGCCATGTCGCAGATGGCGCGCGGGCTGTCAAGTGGCATGGCGCCGCGAAGAAGATGAAGGCCACTCCGGGCACTTACCACGCCAGCGCAATAGACAAGCCAAGCAAAGCCGACGCACTGCTGGAGGCCGCGACCGCATGGCCCCACCTGATCACGTTTGATCACGTGAAGAAGCAATTTGCATTCGCGGACGTGCGACTGGAAACTTTGGAGGAGCTGCTGGAAGCGAACGGACCAGAGCGTTTTGGGGGTGCCTTCTCACGCTGACGACCTATCTGAGAGCGCAGAGAAACCTTCCTGATTGGGTCGTGGGCTCAGCCCGAAGACCATGGAGAGGCGGCCCCGCATGCGGCCGATGTGCCCGCGGGATATCTGACGGAGGGAATGAACGTTGCAGCCCTGTAACCGGCCCTGGAGCACGGGAGGGTCACTCGCATGGCGGAATCAGCTCGCAGGTCCCCGGCTGGCCGCAAGCAACGAGGCGCTCGCGTGGAAGATTTTGTTTCCTGCTGAGTATACTATTACAGAAAGCGCAACATCCCTGGTCGGCGGTGCCCGGTGGACATCTCCGCGCAGTTCTCACTGTCGACAGAGGCCAGGGCGCACGCCATGGAAGCAGAGGGAGGATGCTCTGCCATGTCAGGCAATGTGTTCTTCGACATCGACATTGAGAACTGCTTCGTGGTGCTCCTCTGCAACTGTTTGGGAAGTCCGTCAGTCGACATTGGGGGCTACCCAACCCCCATGTCTTTGAATAATAACCGCAAATCGTGGAGAGCATTCCCTTGCGACTACCTGGGTGCCAGCATGAAGGACGCAAAGCGCGCTCTCACCCGCCTCGTGCTCCTAGCTGCTCCTCGCCACGATATTCCTTTCCAATAGAATCTCTCTCTCTCTCTGGAGATCGAGGAAGCCGCGCACCGTTTTCTCGGTCGCCCTCAGCTTGCAGACATGCAGAATTTGTTCAACGAGAGACCAAACCCGACGGCTACAAGACTGCACTAAGCACTGTCCAGCATTGAGGATGCAATCGCGGACGAAGTCGAGACGAACATGAAGACAATAGACGGTGCCAGTATAAACACGTACATGTTCGACGGCACGGTTGCCGAAGCCCCGCCGACAGCACCTTCGAATGTCGACATTGCGCCATCGGCGTGTTCGGCTCGTCGGAGAGCGACCTTCACGCTGCAGCAGCTCCACCCGCAGGGCGGCGAGAGGGGCCCCCTTGGCGGCGGCGCGCAGCTGAGCGCATTCGAACGAGATCAGAAATTGACGCACATCCAACTTCGAGACGGAACCATCAGCTCCGAGAGCGAGTTCCTCGGAGTGGTGACGGACATGGAGCGCCGCTACACCCGCTCCGCGTCTTTGTTGAAGTACCTGATGAGGCAACATCCCCGGCCTCGGCTACTTCGCCAGAGCAGCCCCCTGCCAGACGCGACGAACCGACCGTGGAATTCGGCGGGCGAAATGGGGGCACCTGCGGGAATTTCAGACGAGCAGTTCGCTCGGGGGCGGGGCTTGCCCGTTGCTTCCAGGAGCTGCGCGCTCTCGGCGCCGCGGGGCCTGCCTGGGTAGCGCGCGAGCGGCGACGTCACATGGGGGGCGTGAACAGCACGCCGTTTTCTTTCACACACTGCAAAGGCGATCCACGACAACTTCCTGGTCTGTTTCAGATCGCAGCGCGGCCAGTGCAACGTGGAATCATTTCGCAATGCGCAAGGGGATTTGCTCATGCATACCATCAACCTGCGCAGTGCAACAGGTCTTGATCGGGCCACGTCCGACACGCTTGCGTCGATGGCACAGGCACTGGAGACGGACTTTGGCGGCGAGGCCCCGGCACCTGCGAATTTTGCCGATGAGGGAGTTCCGCCGTTCGAGAGGCCACAGTCTCGGCGGTTCGAGTCGCAGCGCGCGCGGCCGTCCGCGCACAGACTTACTTCCACGTGGGCCCCGTCGTGTCTGCCAGGAGTGTCTCCGCCGATCGCCGCCGGGCGCCGCGGCCTCTTCTTCTGCTTCGTCGCCAGTCGCGGGCGCCCGCCGCCAGATCGGCGACCAGGGACTTGACTCCGCCAGGCTCGCGCAGTTCACGCTGAGCGAAGCAGGCGAACAACCTGGATGGATCCAGTTCGATTCGTCTTTCTCGAGCGGCGGCGCTGTTCAGAAATGCCACGCGCCCGGCGAGGACGCCAAGGAATGGCGGAGAAGGGGGCTCGCGGGGAAGGGGCGAGCGCGGGCGCGGGGGCGGGAGAAGGTAACTATCCGTGTATCTCGCCACGTTTTCTCACCACATGCGCGGCGGGCAGAGCGAGTGCCCGGGGAGCTGCGATGGGGCTGGTAGAAAGAACGCGCGTTTGATTATGCTTCCCACGCCACGCACAACAAAAACACGTGGCTTTGACAAATGCATCTACCAAGGAATTAGCATGGCTTTCTTAATGCTGAAACTCGGCCACGACCAAAGTTTACCATCTGCCAACGTTATACCCCCCTCCCTCTTTTAAATTGATTTTGCCCTGCTCTGGAACACGGCCAGAACTGCGAGGGGGACGTCGACGGCGCCGACAGGCTCGAGTACCCCATTAACAACGACATCGCCATTAGCGGCGAAAGCGACAGCCTCGTGGACTCCGACATGGACGACGCTTCTCTCGACACACCTATACGCTACACGAGGGCGATATGCTCTGCAACCCCCGCGGTGCAGAGGAAGGCCCGGAACCTGAGGATGATCACTTAAAGGACGAGTCCGAGGAAGATCTCATCAAGGAGTTCACATACTCAGATGGCATTCTGACAGACGCCCCCCCGACGGGCAACTGGGTCTTCGACGATGACGAAGACGGCGGAGATCAGACTGGGGACATAACGCCGCCCGACATTCTTCCGTCTGGGGGAGCGATTCACGACGGCAGCGGCGGCGACGCAAATCTACGGGGCGGATCGGGCCACGCCAGAAAGCGCGCGGCGGGCGGCGGCAGCGCTCCGCCGAAGCCTTTCATGAAGCGGCCAGACTTCGCGAAGCCCAACTGGCGAGCGGCCGCCGCGATGGCGAAGACTGGGGGCAGCGCTTCCACGGGCAAACTTCAGAGCGAGAGCGCCACCCAGACGAGAAGCCAGGTCAAGCACCATTCCGCCGCGAGGCCCCCGGCCCGAAGTATCCCCACCTGTCAAGCAAGGGAGAGCGAGCCGTCTTAGCGCGCAAGTCCAAATTGACCAGGGTTCCGTACCGCGTGCTTGGAGGCATGACGCCTGTTGAGAGGTGCCGGTTCGGCATCAAACTTGGCCTGCTGCCGAAATTGGAAGGCACCAAACACGAAGCGAGCGGCACCAAGCTCATGTCGAGGAACATTGACAACGCAGACGCGCCTGGCGTCGCGCTGGGCGGTTTCGACATCCCGCCCGTTCAGACCCTCCGCATATACTTTTGCAAAGATCGGACCTGCGCGGGCATGAAGAAGGGCGTGCCCGAGGTTTCCAATGACGACGCCGTGATCCAGCGCGGCGGTCGGGGGCGGGCGCCCGCAGGCGAGGGCTTTCTGATGGTGTGCTTTGCTTGCCAACCGTTCGTCCAGAAGTGTTCCAGCGCCAATGATTCCGCGCTCGACCAGGGAATCAACCGCTCCTCAACCGCATGTACCAAGTGACCATCGGGGCAGCCACATCATACCTACTCCGCTTCTGGCCCGACAAATCGTTTGTTCTCGACCGGTGCATGCGCCTTCCTGGCATGGCAGGAAAAGGCGCTTGTACTGATCCTCGAATCAGGATGAGCTGGGCCGGAGTTGGTGCAGGCATACTGTTGGCTTCCCTCGCCAGGTGAGGGCTGAGCAGGCCAGGCTGAATATCGAGGAGCAAAGCAGAATCAAGTTCTCCAGGGGCATCATGGTTGAGATCGACGAGACCGCCGCGAATGCAGAGAGGGTAAACTGGTCGCCGAACTGCCAGCTCTCAGAGGCACCGTGCGCGGGGTACCGCCTGCAGTGGAATATGTGGATCAAGCTGATCCGTCGCGGCGATGGAAGCTCCATGGTCGTACTCCAATTTCCCTTTGCGACGTCCGAGGCTGGTGGCGGCGGCGTCCCCCTTAGCCAGCATGAGTGCGACGACTTCGTTCTGAAGTACTTGGGACAAGGTGTGCTGGTCTTTACCGACGGGGCCGCGCCGTACGAGGCACTCGCGGCAGGCGACGTCAAGTGTTCCCCCGCGTGCTCCCGCAAGGATTGCCTGGACAGCGCGAAGGCACTGGGGAAGGACGCGTGCAGCGACTGGCGCCCGCGCGCGGGTCGAGAAAGCTTCAGCAGGATTGATCGGTGAAAGATGCTCTCGCACGGGGTGGTGACGCACTCGAAAAAAAGAGGGGTGCGTGGTGAATTCGGTCCGCGTGCACTCGGCCAATGGCAGGAGCCGCGTGGTGAAGCTCAAGCACGGCACTGAGTGCGTGGACGGGTGCTGGTCTGAGATGAAGCAGTCCATTCCCCAGTCCATGAAGAGCGCCAAACACAATAAGATTGTTCTCTACGCCAACGCGTGGGTTTGGCGCACGCGGCACCAGGGCGAGGATCTCTTGCGGACTTTCGCCCGCAGCGTGAAGTAGATGACGTGGATGGGTGATTGCATCGTAATATTACATATTGCACGAGCACAACACACACACACACACAACACGCACGCAGGCAACACACACACAATACACACAATCAAGCAAACACACAAACCTACAAACACACACCCACACACACACACACACACAACACGCGCCACCCTCATCCAGCCTCCCGCCCCAGTGCCAGGGCCCGCATGCCACACGTCGTGGCCTCATGGGAGGCTCCACCTGCCGAAGGCCCGAAGGCCCCAGTGACAGCGCCCGCATGGCGGCCCCGCCATATTTCGGCACATCCCTCACATGCTTCGTGGCCCCATAGGGCCATAGGGCCATAGGGGCTCGACCTAAAGCAACAGTGGCAACGCCCACACGGCCGCCCAGCCCCATGTCAGCACACCTTTCATACGCACCGTGGCCCCTATAGGGAGGTCCACCGAAAGCGAGACTCACACGACGGTGCTCGCAACTGCACGTGGCTGGGTCGTTTGCCAAAGCGATACCCATTGAACCCGCAACGTCCGTCACGGGAGGGGGCGCCCCCCCGCCCCCGCCGAACGGTAACGAGCGTACGGGGTGGGGGGGGGGGGGGGGGCGGCCCCCCAACAGAAGTGGCATCGTGTTCACAGGCATGGTGTAGTGCCAACAGACATCGGTAGTACTCCAGGCGATATCCAGCCGAGGATCTGCTGACCCGGATCAAGGCCAATCTGGGTCAGTCAGGCTTTACGGGATCCTGCAGGATCCTGCACGCAAGCCTGGGTCAACGCACCCCGGGATCTGCAGTATCCTGCCAGACCAGGCGCTCTGGCTGACCCCCGTTTGCATGGACCCCCGTCTCACTAGCCATCGCTCGGACGTCCACTCCCTTGCATGTGTCGATCTCGTGCTTTTGTTTCTTTCGTAAGATGGCCCAATATGCTCCTGGATGGCCCTTGCCGAGAAAAATGCACACGTCCGAACGCCACCCGAACCAATCAGCGCCCCTCTAACGGGGACTCCACTGACGGGCACTTTGGCCAGCGACCCGGCGAACCCAACCCTTCGAGATGTGGGCAACGCTGCGATGCCAGAAAGAACACCGCAAATGTCAAGTTCTGGCAAATTTCCAGAATACCCGTTAATGAATTCCCGTGACAGTGCCGCTGGTCCAACCGCCTGCGCTCCCCTTGAGCAGGAACTGACCGTCCCGGCATTCCTGTAGGCCTACCACGACATGCTCTTAGAACCAGAGCAGATTCGAAGAACAACAAACATGTTCTTTGAACATAATGCCGACGTGCTAATCAAGACAGTCTCGGCCAGAAATGTTCTAAAAACATTTCGTGCAAACCGCAGAATAGAGGAAGAAACAACGGCATAAGCATAAACATTCGACGGTCCACGCGGACCTCCGAAAGTATATGTTTCCGCCGTTTTTTGTTATTCGACAAAATGGTCTTGGAGCATTCTTTGGTGAGCCTATGTCGGGGGCGCGCAAACATGGACTGGCGATCAATGAATTTGGCGCGCGGTCGCCAAATCCATGGATCGGGGGAGGCGCCCTCCCCAAAATGCGGCCAGTGCCGCCTCGCTCGGCGGCGGAAATCCGCGATTCTTCATGGAGACGGGACCCGTCGCTAATCCACGCCCCCTTGATCCATGCTTGCGATCGCCTGACTCGGCGGTGGAAAAACCTCCCTTTAGTGAACCTCCCTTTAGTGAAAACGGCCTGGGACCGAAACCGGCGGACCTGGACCCGCAAAAATAACGGCCGCGACGCCCTCTCGCGAACCGAACACGGCCAATTCCTTCGTCGACGCGTCAGGGTAGGAGGTCTGTCCACCCCCAACTGACTGTGGGAGAGACAAGCCGCCTCGCCATGATATCCACCCCCACAAGTCCAAGAGGGGGGTGTCCAAGAGGGGGGTGCAAATCATGACCGGCGGCATGTGCGCGGCCCAGCGGGGGGGGGGCCAAGGACGCAAAGAAATGAGAAGAGGCGCCATGAAATCTGGGGAAGTATCATGGCCCCCGCCATGATATCCCCCCCCCCCTGGTCATCACCCCCCTCTCTCCCGCCCCCGAACAAGACGCCTCGCCACTGCTCTCCTCCCCCCCCCCCGCCGGAGCTGCGGCCGCCACGTGCGCGGGGGCGGTGCCCGCCGCCGCGGTGGCCGCCGGCGCCGCGGAGGCGCCCACGAGGGCCAGCCCCTCCGGGGGGGCCCCGGCCATGGCGCCGGGGAAGGGGCGCCTCCCCTCGGCGCGGCGGCCGTCGTCGTCGTCGTCGTCGTCGTCGTCGTCGTCGTCGTCGTCGTCGTCGTCGTCGTCGTCGTCGTCGTCGTCGTCGTCGTCGTCGTCGTCGTCCCCCTTCAGGGTGGGCAGCGCCGGCCGTGAAGCCTTCGCAATCGGGTCAGATCGAGATGTACGTCGGATCGGGCTGCATCTGCACGAGATCGGAATCGAATCGGATCTGCTGCGACAGTATGCACAACAGAGCCATACCAGCATCGGGCCGCATGGGATTGCTGGAAAATCGGAACCGAAACAGAACGTGCCGACCAGAATCGACATCGAGTCGGATCGATCGAATCGAAATGGACCCTGCTAAGGTGGGAACCGAAAGATCCCAACAGCCCTCCAGGGAACGTGCCACGGGACGCGCCAAGGGGCGTGCCATGGAGGAGTGCCAGGGGACGTCATGGCAGGGGACGTCCCAAAGGACGCGCCAGGGGACGTGGCAAGGGACGGACCACGGAACGGGCAGGGGAGGCGCCAGTGGACGAGCCAAGGAACGCGCCAGACGAGCCATGGAACGAGCCACGGGACGCGCCAGTGAACGCGCCAGTGGACGTGCCAGGGGTGTGGCAGCGGACGCGCCAGGGTGCGTGGCAGCGGACGCGCCAGGGGACGCGCCAAGGAAAGTGCCAAAGGAGGTGCTAATTATGGGATGCGCCAAAAACGCTCCGCGCTTCCTTGTCTCACGACGGCAAGACTGGGTCTGCGGACGACATGTTTCATCCAGGATCCAACATGGGAGTTACGGTAGGGGCTCGACCACACGAAACCTTCCACAAGAAGCGCAACCCTGAGACCCCAGGACGTCCATTGGTTTTTGATGCAGGAACGTCACGCTCTCCATCGCAAAACCATCGAAACCCAAGAAACCCAGGGCACCATGAAGGCAAGCAGGGTGTTTCTTGGCATGGATCTCAACTGTATGCTTCCCTCGAGAGTGCTCGCAGCAAACGCATATGTTTCACCAAAACTGTGCCTTTACCTTCTTCTATCGAGCGGCAATTCGACTATCCACCAGTAACATGGCTCCAAGGACAACTTACAAACTCCGCCGACCCACGCTGTTCCGTCGGCCGCGGTCGTCGTCGTCTCCGTCGTCTCCGTCGTCCTCTCCGTCGTCCTCGTCGTCTCCATGGTCTCCTCGGCGTCTCTGTCAATCGTCGTCTCCGTCGTCCCCCGTCTCCTTTCCCTGGGCCCTCAACGTCGTGTCGTCTCCGTCGTCTGCTCGTCGTCTCCTTCGTCCTCGTCGTCTCCGTCGTCTCCCCGTCGTCTCCGTCAACCGTCGTCTCCGTCGTCCCCCGCCTCCTCTCCCAGAGGCCCCCCTCCTTACGCGCGCCAGCCGAACGACATGGAGCAACGCCGCAGCCGAGTCGAAGGGAAGCCCCTTCCCTTTGATCCCCTCCCCGCCGTGGGGAGGGCAGCCCTGGGTGCGGGTCGCCCCCCCATCCCCCCCCCAGATGCGCATCCCCCCGGGGCGGCCCCGGGGCCCAGAGAAGCCCCAGGGCGCGGCAAGAGTGCCCCGCGAGGCCCCCAAGGACGGCCCTCGAGGGCCCCGAATCGCCGAATTGTCGGTCCAGGACGCCGCAGGAGCCTCCCGACGGCTCAGGAGGCTTTCGAAACGCCCCAAGAGGTCTCCAGGAGCACTCCCGAAAGGGCCCCCAAGAGAACATCACAAATTGTCCTTCAGATTTTGAAAGATTTTGGCGTTCTCGCCTTGTCGGCTTCCCGACGCTCCAAGACAGCCCAATAGGCCTCCAAGATCGCCCAAGAGACCTCCAAGAGGGCCCCAAAACGACTCAAGAGGGCCCCAAGAGCGCCTCCAAGACAGCCCAAGAGGCCCCCAAGACAACTCCATGAGGGAGCCCAGCCGGGGGACTCGAACGGACATTTCGAGCCCTCGGCCTGAGAGGCTCCCAAGAGGCCCCCAGATGCCCCCAAGAAGTCCTCCAAGAGGCCCCCGAAAAGCCCTCCAAGAGACCGCCGGGAAACCCCAAGAGGCCCCCACGAGGCTCCCGAGAAGCTCCCAAGCGCCTCCCATGAGGCCCCGAAAATACCCCCATGAAGCCGAGTCGTCGTCGTCGTCGTCGTCGTCGTCGTCGTCGTCGTCGTCGTCGTCGTCGTCGTCGTCGTCGTCGTCGTCGTCGTCGTCGTCGTCGTCGTCGTCGTCGTCGTCGTCGTCGTCGTCGTCGTCGTCGTCGTCGTCGTCGTCGTCGTCGTCGTTCAGGGTCGGCGGCACCGGCCGTAGGGCCTCTCCAACAGAAGAGCCATGGAACCGCGCCCTTTCTAGGAAAAAAGGGCAAGGAACTTCGCAGCACATTCGGCTCGAGGGCGTCCGTCGTGCTAGTGACTGGTGGCTCGAAAGAAACAATAAAGCTCTGCAATTTGGACATGTACTGTCTGAACTGTCAGAATGACATCACCTTTCGAACACGAGGCCACTACTCGTAACATCCACCATCCGTCACCACGATCACCATCGCAGAAGAAGAAACGGTAGCAAAGCCTGTCTGACCAGATCCATCTCGCCCAATGAGCTCGGCAGTGATTACGGCTCGAAAGCCAAGTTCAGAAACGTGTGTCGCTAATATCCCCCTCGCCATCGCCACGCACACTACTACAGCCGTCGTGCTACCGTAAGGGACGAAGGGGCTTTCATGTCCACGACGAGCCTCGGCTACGAATGGGAAAGGAACGGCCAACAAACGTAGCCCCTCGTGAGCCCACCGGGCAAGGGTTCGGCCGTTGACGTCGCCGCAGGCGCTCCAAAACAAAAAAGCAACTGCGCGGATGCATCAACATCCTGATAGACGCATGCTCTTGGAGGTGGCTGGGGGGTCTGAACTGGGTGGGACCCCAGAAAATCGGTAGGGAAGGGGGGCGAGGCCAAATCCACTCAAAATCTACCTCCTGACCCATCCCAGGGTCCATCTGGTGCAGTTGTTCACTCCGGATCCGTTGTTCATTGTCCTAGGGCCCGAAAACGCCCCCTAGAGGCAGAACACAAACAAAAAACGGCCCGAACCGAGAACCTCAAACCAGTGCTGGGCCACCTCAGACCCCCAGACGGGCTCCAAGTCAAGGGTGCGGCCATTGACGTCGCCGCAGGCGTTCCCAAACAAGCAAGCAATTGCATGGATACGTCATCGTGCTACAACAAGGAACGCTGAAGAAGGAACGAAGGGGCTTTTCTGACCACGGCGAGCCTAGGCCAACAACAGTTTCCCCGACCTAGGTCTAAAGGAACGGTCTGAAAATCACAGCCCCCCCTGAGCCCAAGGTGGTCCTGAGCCCAAGGTGGTCCTAAATCCCAAGGTGGTCCTGATCGAAGCCTGACCCGTGCCCGCCTGATCTGGCCGCCGAACCTGCTGGCGAGCACCCCGCGGGCCGCGGCGCACGGCTCGTCCGCGGCGAAGACGTGCCGCGGGACGTCCTGGCGCCCCGGCATCTGGTCGACCGCGAGGGCCCGGCTGAAGCAACGACCCTGGCGCTGGTTTCTGACACCGCATGGATCGTTCAACCTTGAAGGATCGGCGGATCTTCGATCGCTGGATCGTTCCGTGCTGGTCGAGGCCACTGCCTGAGCTCAACCATGAGCGCCAGTGGCGGGGACGCCACCGCGTCGACACGACGCGAACCTGCCGTGTGGGGGGGGGGGGGGGGGGAAAACCAGGAGGCCGCGCGCGGCCACTTGAGACCCGATGTACGTCGTATTCAGGTCGGAGTTACGCAAGGCTTAAGTCGGGTTACGTCGGAGGTACGTCGGGCTCACGTCGGGTTCACGTCGGATTTGCGTCGCGCCGCAGCATCTCCGCGCGAACGTCGATCCGTATCTTACGGATTGGACGTGTAGACCAGATGATACAACCATTGCGCACCGCGCGAGGCCTCCAGGGACATTCTTCATAGATCATGGCGTGCTGCAGCCAGAGCGTGGCCACAGGAGCGCAGGTCAATGACACGTGCCCCCTCGCCGAAGGCCAGGGGGGCTCCAGAGGGATGCCCCGAACGAGGAGCGCTGCAAGGTGGAGAGCCCCATCACGAGGACCATAAGAGAACCCCTCCAAGGCCAGGGTTGGTCTCAGCACTCGTGCCAGCTGTAGTCCTTCAGAACGAATATTTTGGGGTGCTGGGTGTTAGCGCGGGGGAAACGGGTCCTGAGGGAAACAGGCCCTGGCTCCCGAGGCCTTCCCCCGGGACGAGATCCCTGAATTGTTTCCCGCCAGTCCCAGGGCCCGTGGAGGGCCTCGGGAACCCGAAAACGGCAACAAAAACTCAGGACCAGTTTTCCGAGGCCTCCTACGCGCCGCATCGCCAATGCATCGCCGATGCATCGGCGACGCACTGGCGACGTTGGCGATGCATCGGCGCCGCCTGCGTAGAGAGAAAGCGGGGCTCCGCATCGAACCGCATCGCAACGCTGCGCGAACCTCGACCCCATCTGCTCGGACCCCCTGTCGGGCGTTGGCAGAATTGGGTTTAGTGGAACCTGGTTTAATGATTTGTACCGGGGGCGCCCCCCCGCCCCATCTCCACTCACCGGAACTGCCGTCACCCGAGAAACACCAGCTACAGCAAACCTGGTTTCGTGAATCTGGCCCATTGAGGGGCCCCAGGGCCCTACCACTGACCGGGTCCCCCTACCCGGGGTCCTGGCCATACCCGGCCCTAGGGGAAGGCCTGGAGCTTTCCTCAGGGCCCGCTTCCTTCACTGCGCGGGGCTGCTCTCAAGGGGGGACGGGCGGGCGGCGGGCTCCTCGAGGCCGCCCCCGCAGAGGCACCCGCCGTGGGCGCGCGTGGCGCAGTAGGAGACGGTGCCTGCCGCCGCTCCCGGGAGGCCCCTCGAGCTGCGAACAAGCAAGGAGCTGTGAAGCAACTTCTACTCCTCCTCCGCCTCCTCCGCCTCCTCCTCCTCCTCCTCCTCCTCCTCCTCCTCCTCCTCCTCCTCCTCCTCCTCCTCCTCCTCCTCCTCCCCCTCTTTTTTGGTCCTCCTCCTCCTCCTCTCCCTCCTCCTCCTCCTCCGTCTCCTCCGTCTCCTCCGTCTCCTCCTCCTCCTCCTCCTCCTCCTCCTCCTCCTCCTCCTCCTCCTCCTCCTTCTCCTCCCCGCCTGCCAGGATGGGAGGGGCCGGCGGCTCGGAGCAGGGCGGTCTTTGGGGGCGCGCAAGCATGGACTATAGTGGGGGCGCGCAGCAAGAAGCCATATATGCTTCTCGTCGGGGTATCCTGGGTTTCTTCGCTCCTCGCGCTGCGTGGTGACTTCCCGCAGCCGCTGAAGGAGCTGCTGCGTTCGGGGTGCTCCAGGTTTCCCCTCAGGTGCACCTCGCGCACGGGTTCTCAGGGTTGGGTTTCTTGCGAGGGTTTCTTGCGGCCGCGCCCGCACTGTAGCGATCCAGCGCGGTCGCCAAATCCATGGATCGGGGGAGGTGCCCTCCCTAAAATGCGGCCCGTGCTGCCTCGCTCGGCGGCGGAAATCCGCGATTTCCCATGGAAACGGGACCCGTCGCTAGTCCACGCCCCCATTGATCCATGTTTGCGATCGCCTGAGGTTTGAGACACTGGGACTTCAAAACCGGTCCTCCCGGACCCATCCCCCAGGGTCCACGCGCACCAGCTTTCCGCGCTGCGCCCAGCCGTGGCCACGAGGGGGCCCCCCGAAGCCCAACTCCGGGTGCCTGCAGCGGCCCCACGCTGAGCTGCACGCAGGGAGTGACCTTGGGCGTAGGTCGGGCCTGTCCCCCTACAAGCGGGTTTTGGGCGAAAAGTCCGCCGCCCCCTGTCGATTCATCGCAGGGGTGCCTGGCGTGCTAGACGAGTTCGGTTTTGGTGTTGGTTCCTTTTCCCACAGAGCTCCCCCTGGGGCTTCGGCCCGTCCCGCTGGCCACCCGAAAGGATCTTCCGGAGGTGGTTGCCGTGGGTATTCCTGCCCCAGATGGCTCCAAGACGGCCCAAGATGGCCTCCAAGACGCCTCAGATGGCCAGCCCAAGACGCACCCAAGACGGCCTCAATGGCCTCAAGATGGCCCAAGACGGCCAAAGATGCCCCCAATAGCCCTCCAAGACAGCCCAAGAGGCATCCAAGAGGTCCTCCAGAAGTGGCCGAAGAGGCCAAAATCATTAATTTCCCTTAGGCTTTTGAAGGATTTGGGCATTTGCTCCTTCTCGGCCTTCCGACAGCTCAAGACGGCCCCAGAGGCCCCCACGATCGCCCCAAGACTGCCCACGAGGCCTCCCCCATGACGGCCCAAGAGGCCCCCAAGACGGCCCCACGAGGCCCCCAAGACGGCCCAGGAGGCCTTTAAGACGCCCAAGATGGCCTCCAAGACGGCCCCGAAGCGCCCCAAGAGGGCCCCAAGTCGGCCCAGAGAGGCCCCCAAGACGGCTCCCGACGGCGTCAGACGTGCCAGGAACCCACAAAGATGGCCTCTTGTTGGCTCGAAGCTGGCCCAAGACGGCCCAAGAGGCCTCCAAGAGGGCCTCCAGGCAAGCCAGAAAAGGCCCAAAAACATGTATTTCCCTTAAGTGTTTGAAGGATTTTGACATTTGCTTCTTTTCGGCCTTCCGACGGCCCGAGACGGCCCGAGAGCCCCCAAAGATTGCCCAAAGATCGCCCAAGAGGCCTCCAAGATGGCCCCAGAACGGCCCAAGAGACTCCCGAGACGGCCCCAAAAGGACCCCCAAGACGGCCCAGGAGGCCTTTAAGGCGCCCAAGATGGCCTCCAAGACGGCCCAGGAGTATTCCAAGAGGGCCCCAAATCGGCCCAGAGAGACCCCCAAAACGGCTTTCGACGGCGTCAGGCTGGCCAGGAGCCCACCAAGACGGCCGACTAACCATCCGGCCACCGAACGCACTCGGTCCTCGGCCTCGTTCCTGAAAGCCTCCTCCTGCCTCTCCCTTCCCCGGGGGAGGGGGGACCCCTGTTCCGGGGAGGCTGCAGCACCGCTCAACGATGTGCTGTCGACCAAACCTGCAGGCTGGGCCCTTTCCATTTAGCTGTGCACTTCAGCTTTGGCTCTGGTTCCAGCCCGTGGGTGCACCGCTCGCATGAGTAGATGGCGACATCCGAACCCTACCCCCACCCACCATCGATTGTCCCGAATCGATGGGAGGCGGGGGCAGGGCTCGGATTCCGCCACGTCTTCGACGAATCTACCAACTCCGCACCCTACCCCCGCCGCCCATCGAGCTGCCTGAACCGATGATCGGCAAAGGCATAGGCTTCGGACAACGCCGCCGACGGGGTGCCGCCCCCGCCGCACGGGCCCCGCTGCGCACGGCCGCGCCCCCGCACGGGCTCCGGGAAGCCGCGGCCGCGGCCCGCCGGGTCCTCCAGCCTCGCTCTTGGGGGCCCCCCTCCGCCCCCCCCCTCCCCCTCGCCCCGCCCCCCGCCGCACGAGCCTCGTTCCGCTGGCTGAGTGCCGTCCTCATCCTGACCAGCCAGCGGCTGAACCAGATGCGCAGTCCCAAACTCCCGCCGCACCCAGGGCAACCATAGTCGCGGTCCGCGAAGCGCGACAGCGATTGTGCTCGCGCTTTCACGCCGTCCCCGCCCCCGCGGAACTGGATGAGGGACTCGCGCCTCGCTCTGAGTCGCCCAGGCCGCGAAGCGCGAAGTGATAAGCACTAAAAGTACCCCTAACCCGTTGGGGGAGGGGACCTAAGCTAGGAGAGCTAGAACAGTAGGGATAGGGGGCATCTTTCCGCAGATGTAGCAGCCAAAACCGCCCAGACTCATCATCCCTAGTGCAAGACGGGGACCTCAGGAAGGCCACGTCTTCACTCTGTCATCAGGGCCACGCAGGGGCCCTTCGATCCTCGATGGCGCAGCGCCGCCTTCGTGGTGCACGCTGGCCCTACAGGGTGCACAGGCCACGGCCCGGGCCCCCCGCAGCGGGCTGCAGGGAGCCACGGCCGCGGCGCCGCGGACGAGCCGCCTCCGCTCCGCAGAAGGGCCGCGCCTGGCCCCCCCCGTGGCCGCGGCCCCGCGGGCGACGCCCCTCCAGGATAATCATTATACTCGGCGGTGGACAAACCTCCCTTTAGCAAACCTCCCCTTAATGAAAAACGGCCTGGGACCGAAGTCGACGGACCTGGACCCGCAAAAATGACGGCCGCGACGCCCTCTCGCGAACCGAAGACGGCCAATTCCTTAATCGACGTGTCAGGGTAGGAGGTCTATCCACCTCCGATATACACTGACCCGGGTCAATCCAAACCGGCGTCAGTCAGGCCCCGCAGGCTCTTACAGGAGCCCTGCAGGATCTGCAGGGCCCTGCACCCATGGCCCGGGTCAGTGCGCCCCCGGCCCTGCGGAATCCTGCAAGCTCCGGCGCTCTGGCTGACCCCCGTTTGCACCGACCCCCGTCTCTTGATCCCCGAGCCCTGCCGCGGCCCTTGGCCCCGGGGCCCGAGGAGCCTTCGACGACATTGTCGTCATCGCCGCCGCCACCGCCGCGGCCGCCGTCGTCGTCGTCATCGTTGTGGTCGTCGTCATCGTTGTGGTCGTCGTCGTCGTCGTCGTCGTCGTCGTCGTCGTCGTCGTCGTCGTCGTCGTCGTCGTCGTCGTCGTCGTCGTCGTCGTCGTCGTGTTGTTCTTGGTGGTGGTGGTGGTGGTGGTGGTGGTGGTGGTGGTGGTGGTGGTGGTGGTGGTGGTGGTGGTGGTGGTGGTGGTGGTGGAAGTGCGTCATCGTCATCGTCTTGTTCTTGGTGGTAGTGGAAGTGGAGAGCATGGTGGTGGTGGTGGTGGTGGTGGTGGTGGTGGCGGTGGTGGTGATGGTCGAGGTCGTCGTCGTCTTAACGCGCCCTACGGTGCGCGACGCGCGGTCATCTTCGCGCCCCTGGCGCCCTCCCGCCCGCCGCCTACTTGGGGAAGGGCCACCGCTCTGTCTCAGCCTGCGACGATGACGGCGCGGTCATCTCCGCCCCCGTGGGGTGGGCCTGGCGCCTCTCCCTTCGCAGTGCAGTCGAGCTGCTGCCCTGAGGAGCGCCACCCAAGGACCGAATCCCCTCGTTGGCCCCGAAAGCGCCTGGGTGCACGAGGAGCGCTAGAGGAACAGCACCATGGAAGACCAGAAGGAGCAGCGGGACCCTTCCGAATCCGAACTGCGTACTCTTGCTTCATCGTCCCGATCCTGCATCTTGGAAGGTCTGGAAGAGTGTCAGGCTAACGTACGGTAGGGGCTCGACCACAAGAAGCCTTCAACAAGAAACCCAAACCTGAGACCCCAGGACGTCCATAGATTGTTGGTGTGAAAGCGTCACGCCTTCCGACGAAAAACCCTCGAAACCCAAGAAACTCAGGGCACCCTGAAGGCGAGCAGGGTGTTGCTTGGCATGGGCCGCCACTGTAATGCATCTGAACTGCTGCGAGGGCCGCGCGGTCTGAGGTGCAGTGGTGCCTCTAGCGAGTGGCTCGTGGCATCGCACGCTGGCCTCGACCCTTCAGGTGTCGACATCCGAACCCTACAGTGGATGCCAGTCCGCAAGAAACCTTCCACAAGAAACCCAACCCTGAGACCCGAGGACGTCTTTAATTGTTGGCGAAGGAACGTCGCGCTCTCCATCGCAAAACCATCGAAACCCAAGAAACCCAGGGCACACTGGAGGCAAGAAGGGTATTTCTTGGCATGGATTTCCACTGCACCCCCACCCGCCATCGATTCTCCTGAATCGCTGGGAGGCGGGGGCAGGGTTCGGATTTCGCCACGCGCTCGACGAACTCCGAACCCTACCCCTGCCGCCCATCGACTTGCCTGAACCGTTGATCGGCGAGGCCAAGGTTCCGATTTCGCCGCCGAACTTGCCCGTCTCGCCGACTAGATTGGGCAGGTCTCGTTCGAGTGGCCCCCAGAAGCGAGGGGCCCGCCAGGAAGAGGCCCCCGTCCCCCCGCGCCAGCTTCTCCGTCAAGGCCCCCGGCACGGCCCCAAACTGACTCCTGCTGCAGGGTTGCGTGTGCAGGGTGCGCCCCTGGGTCACCCCCTGTCGATGGTGGCCTCGGGCGCGGCCGATCTCCTGCCAGCGGGGCCCGTCAGCTAAAAAAACAATAAAACCGGCAATTGCGGTGTTCTGGTCCCTCTGCTCCTCCTCACACTCCTGTCGGCGGCGACCCCGGGGGGAAATGAGAGAGGGCGAGCCATCTCAGGAGAATGTGACTCGGAAGTTCCCTGGCCTTCTGAGAAGTGTTCTAAGCTTTCCCCGAAGACACAGAAAACTGTTCAGAAGGCGCAAGGGCTTCTGAGAAGCGCCGCCTCCTTCTGAGAAGGCCTTCTCCTTCTCATTTCCCCCCTCGCTCGCCGCCGACAATGGGGTCCGTCGACTAAAGAAGTAATTGAACCTATCATTGCAATGTTTTGGTCCCTCATTGCCTTGGGGGTGTACGGGCTTCACATGTGTTTTTCAATGTTCCCCGACCCCCCACTGGAAACAGAAAGCAAATCGGGGCCTTCGGGTTGGGTTGGGGTGGTTTGGTGGGCGGTGAGTTGTCCCCATCCCTGACCCATCGGCGTCGGCACCCAGAGACAGTGCAAAGGGGCCCAGGGACACACAAACAAACAGGCAAAAATCCCAGGATCCCCCGTGTGGTCCAATCTTTTCCGGGTGTTCGTCGTCCCCCAACTGCCCATAGCACCAGCCCTCTGGGCGTAGGTGGTTTAGGGAGTTTCCCCTTCCACCCCCCCTCTTCCCCTTCGGGGAGGGGTTTACCCCTCCCCCTACCCCCCTCCCCTGGACCTGACCTGGACGGGCCGCGCCTGGACTGCACATAGCTCCCAACCATCTTGTGGTGCTGGGCCCACGTGTTGAAGAGGCAGCGCCCCGCGTCTCCTTCCTTCCTTCCTTTCCTCCTTCCTTCCTTCCTCCTCCCCCCTCCTCCCCACCCCCCCTCCTCCTGCCCGCATGCGGTTCCCCCACCCAGGGCAGCGCTTCGTAGCCCCATAGGGAGCTCCACCGAAGGCCCCAGTGGGGGTGCCCGCATGCGGTTCCCCCACCCACGACAGCGTTTCGTAGCCCCATAGGGGGCTCCACCGAAGGCCCCAGTGGGGGTGTTCGCCTGCGTCTCCCCTACCCAAGGCAGCGCCTCGTGGCCCCATAGGGAGCTCTACCGTAGGCCCCAGTGGGGGGAGCCGCATGCGGTTCCCCCACCCAGGGCAGCGCTTCGTGGCCCCATAGGGAGCCCCACCGCAGGCCCCAGTGGGGGTGCCCGCATGCGGTTCCCCTACCCAGGGCAGCGTTTCGTAGCCCCATAGGGGGCTCCACCGAAGGCCCCAGTGCGGGTGCCCGCATGCGTCTCCCCTACCCAGAGGTAACGCCACCGAAAACGATAACTAGTCTTATGTGCGGTATTCACAACTGCATATGGTTGGGTCCTTCGCCAGGCTAAGTTTCCCATGTCCCCAGGAGTCGACGATGAATTGTGTCTGTGCAGACGTGGCGCCCGACGAGAGCACCCTTCTACGATCAGGTCGGGCATGTCCCCCTACAGGCAGGCTTTGGACGAAAGATAGAGCATACCCCCCAACAATGCTCAAAAACAAGTGGCCCTTGTGCCATGGCTCTTGCACAAAAAGAGAAGAGGAGGAGGAGGAGGAGGAGGAGGAGGAGGAGGAGGAGGAGGAGAAGGAGGAGGAGGAGGAGGTGGAGCTGGAGGTGGAGGAGGAGGGGGGAAGAGGGGGCAAGACATCGCCCTTCGGGGCCCAGAAACGGTGCCCAAATCCCAAGTGGGGAGGGGGGGAGGTGGCGTGCGTCGCGACGCGGAATAAAGTGCTCGGAGCGGAGGGGGCACTGGGCGGAGGTCCCACTGGGGCGCTGGGAGTGCCGAGAGGAGGGTAGGAGGGAGGTGGTGTGCGTCGCGACGCGGAATGAAGTGGTCGGGGCGGAGAGGCACGGGGCGGGGGTCCCACTGGGGCGCTGGGGCGCAGGGGACGCGGGGGGGAAGGGGGGAGGTGGTGTGCGTCGCGACGCGGAATAACATTGTCGGGGCAGGGGCCACGGGGCGGGCGCCCACTGGGCGCTGGGGGCGCGGGGGGGCGGGGGGGAGGGGTGTGCGTCGCGACGCGGATAGAATGCTCGGGGCGGAGGGGGCACGGGGCGGAGATCCCACTGGGGCGCTGGGGACGCGGGGCGGCTCGGGGCAGAGGGCCACGGGGCGGGGGTTCCACTGGGGCGCTGGGGACGCGGCGGGGGGGGGGAGGTGGTGTGCGTCGCGACGCGGAATAAAGTTGTCGGGGCGGAAGGGGCAGTGGGCTGGGCTCGGGCCGACTGGGGCGCTGGGGACGCGGGGAGGGAGGTGGGGGAGGTGGTGTGCGTCGCGACGCGGAAGAAAACGTTCGTGGCGGAGGGGGCTGTGGGCGGGGCTCCTACTGGAGCGCTGGGGACGCGGGGGGCTCGGGGTGACTGGGCTGGGCTCCTACCGGGGCGCTGGGGACGCGGGGGGGGAGGGTGGGGGAGGTGGTGTGCGTCGCGACGCGGAATAAAGTGGTCGGGGCGGAAGGGGGCACTGGGCGGGGCTTGGGGCAGAAGGCCACTGGGAGGGGGTCCAATTGGGGCGCTGGGGACGGGAGGGGGGGGGAGGGAGGTGGTGTGCGTCGCGACGCGGAATCAAATTGTCGGGGCGGAGGGGGCACGGGGCGGAGCCCCCACTGGGGCGCTGGGGACGCGGGGGGGGAGGTGGGGGAGGTGGTGTGCGTCGCGACGCGGAATAAAGCGTTCGTGGCGGAGGGGCAGTGGGCGGGGCTCCTGGGGCGCTGGGGACGCGGGGGGGCTCGGGGCAGAGAGCCACGGGGCGGGGGTCCCACTCTGGCGCTGGGGACGCGGGGGGGGGTCGGGGGTTCCACTGGGGCGCTGGGGACGTGGGGGGAGGGGGGAGGTGGTGTGCGTCGCGAGGCGGAATAAAATTGTCGGGGCGGAGGGGCACGGGGCGGAGCCCCCACTGGGGTGCTGGGGACGCGGGGAGGGAGGTGGGGGAGGTGGTGTGCGTCGCGACGCGGAATAAAGCGTTAGTGGCGGAGGGAGCAATGGGCGGGGCTCCCACTGGGGCGCTGGGGACGCGGGGGGGCTCGGGGCAGAGAGCCACGCGGCGGGGATCCCACTGTGGCGCTGGGGACGCGAGGGGAGGGGTGGGGAGGTGGTATGCTTCGCGACGCGGAATAAAGTTGTCGGGGCGGAGAGGGCACTGGGCGGGGGGCCGTCTGGGGCGCTGGGGACGCGGCGGGAAAGGTTGGGAAGGTGGTGTGCGTCGCGACGCGAAATAAAGTGGTCGTGGCGGAGGGGGCAGTGGGCGGGTGCCCCCACTGGGGGAGGGGAGGTGGTGATGTGGTGCGTGAGGAGGGGGAGGTGGGTGTGCGTCGCGACGCGGAATGAAGTGGTCGGAGCTCTAGACACCCTATGCAAGAGAATAATCAAAAATGGTAGGAGAATCGTCCCCAGACTATTTTTGGGATGTTTGAACACTCATCCTGCAGAGGGACGAGCGCACCCTTCTACCGACCCCCCGCCCCTGCCGTTGGCAGTGCCGCGGATGGCGATCACGTCGGATCTCCTCTTGAGGTAGACGCCTGCCAGGCCGTCCTGCCCGCGCCCTCGCCTTGCGAACAAGGCGTGCGTGAACCATTCCGAGTACTTCGTGGCTGGTGACTGAGGCTCGCTCAAGCTCGCGAGCACCTCGTCTCGTGAGCGTTTCTTTGATTCGGCGCTTCGACCTTGGGCGGACAGGGGGGGAAGGGGGGGGGTCTGGCCCCGGACCTCTGCCTAGTACGACTGTTTGCGACAGTGCGTCCTATGGGGGAGAGGCTCCACCTGCTCGAAACAGGCGCCCAACACAGCCAAGATCCACCCCAGGGGGGGAGGGGAGGGGGGGGGGGGGGGGGCGAGGGCCCGCGCCGATCGGCAAATCAATGAATAAAAAAAAGATCACCGTCTCAACAAGCTTCCGTACCATCATTCGGGCCAGAGCGAAAGCCGTGCGTCATGGACATCATGGTATGCAAATCATGTTCGCGGTTGACGCAATAATCAGTTTGGGAGCCGCCGACCATGTCGGACACCCGGGACGCATGCAGACTGCCGCCAAACACTGCAAGCACGCGGACCTCATGGCTGGTCGAGAAAGAGCAGGAGGACGATGCGCGGGAGGAGTGAGGGAAGCCGAGGAGGAGGGAAGGAGCTGGGGAGAACACGTGAGAGGCGTTGGCTACCGCTCTGATCGCCAGCGCTCTGGGGCCGCTCTAGGCGTGCCGCGCCAGTCCGCGAAACCCCCAAGCACCGCGGCAGCCCCCAAGAACAGACTCCACACTTATAGTAGCTCGCTCCTACAAGAGTCGAGCGTCCATCCTGGACTTGCAAGGGTCAATGGGCACATGGCTGACCAGTCAGATCAGAAAGCCCTCCCCATCCGCCTGGCATATCAAGAACCTTTTTGAGACCCTGGAAGGTCGAGCGGTGGGGCTGGAGACTCCAGAAAAGGCTCGCACGATAGGAGCATGGCAAATCTGATCTGCATCGAATCGGGAAATTGGGTCGCATCGGGAAGTGCGTCGGATCGGGCTGCATCGGAACGGAGACGAGATCGAATCGGATCGGCCACGCCAGAATGAACAACGGCACCATGCAAGCATCGGGCCGCACCGGATCGTCGGAATGCTGGAATCGAACATGATCGGGCTGGCCAAACTTGGTATCGAACCGGATCGACAGGCTAGAGACGGACCCAGTGAATCAATGACTGGGAGAACTCGCCGAATTCTCGAGCCATGGACCTTGAGCACCACTGAGCACAGGCCAGACCGCGGCTGGCATGCCGTCGACCGACTGGGCCCCTCGGCACCCCATCCGCAACAGGCTCGGCGGGTCGGATCTGGCCACGCGAGAGCAACGAAAAGAATGGGTCTTACGGTCTTGCGCGAGATGTCGTAGCGGCCCTACGCGGGCCGCTGGCGCGGCACGCCACGTTGCGAACCAGGGCGCCTACGCGCGATCTTACGCGGGAAGCTCACGCGCGAATGTCAGCGCGGCCGGCGCCGTTCTCTTCCGTCGCTGAAGTGTTCAGGGAAGGGGATGGTCCACCGATCCGTCGGTCTTCAACCCTTCGCGTCACTGAGCACAGGCCCGACCGGCGGCCAGCCTTCGGTCGGTCGTCCGGGCCCGACACTCCCTGGTCAGCCACCCATGCGTTGCTGCTTCCCTCTGGGTTGAGCACTCAGAGCTAACCAAAAGCCAAGATCAGTCAGCACCGAAACAGTACATCGGATCGAATCGAGATCTGTATCGGATCGGGCTGCATCGGCCTGGGATCGAAATCGAATCGGATCGGCTGCGCCAAGATGCACAACAACACCATGCCGTCATCGGGCCGCATCGGCTCGCTGGGAAATCGAGAAATCGAATGGGATCGAATTGACTGAACTTGGTGTCGAATCAGACCGGACAGATCGAGATGGGCCCTGGCTCGCACAGCAGCCAGTAGGACCAAGGAGTGAACTCTTTCGCCCCTCTCGCTGAGGAGGAGGAGGAGGAGGAGGAGGAGGAAGAGGGGGAAAAGGAGAAGGAGAAGGAGGAGGAGGAGGAGGAGGA